AACTAACTCAGAAACAAGTGTTCTGTGACTTAGGCTGAAGGTGCTTTGAGAGCTAAAATTGAAGTTTAAACAAAAGATATATATATAATGTATATGAATCTGTCTGCGTGTACACGTGCATGCCAGAAGAGGGCAGCAGATCCCGGTATAGATGGTTGTGACCATTCATGTGGTTAAAGGGAATTGAAATTAGGACCTCTGGAATAGCAGACAGTCTGGTTAACTGCTGTGCCGTCTCTCCAGGCCCTTCCTCCTTTCTTTCTTTTTAATGGAGTGGTGAACTCAGACACTCTTGGCTTTTCCAGATGCAGAAAATAAGTACAGTATGTGGCCCTAGCCCTAAAATAGTCATGTACACCATCCCAGCTATAGCTCTGAGAACACTGAAGAAGAGGTGGTTAGGAAATAAGAAGGGAAAGTGGAGGAAAGCCTAGGACAGATGTTCTCTAGACTCCATACAGCTAACGTAATCAGTAACCAACAGCGACTGCGCTTACTTGCCTTGGCCTAACACAAGACCACAATTAATCTAGGAAAGGACACAGCTAATTTTTACCTCTCAAATGTTGGCTATTGATAGATTTTAGAAGACGAGTCGCTTCCTTTAGTTGTTATCCTCTGATGAGCCGACCAGGCTCCAACATATATCTCCAAACTCACAGCCTCATAAATAGATCTGGATACTCTCAGCGGGTTCAAGGCAGTTTAAATAGATATGGAAACAATAGAGTGATGTTTGGAACTGTGTACCAGGATAGTGGAGCGGTGGAAGGAGAGAGTGTGCAGTATTTGAGGCACACACACATGTATTATGTGTGTATATTCATAGTGTGAAATATTCATAGTGTGAAATAGCTGATAATAGAAAATTTGGCTGAGCTCATGCCTTCATTAGTTCGTTCGAGGCAGGGGTTCTCTGTATATCTTTGTGGTTAAACACACGTGCTACCATGCCCAGCTCAAAATTTATAGACCACATCAGGCTATATTTTCTTTTAGGTTGTATCAGTATCTGGTGGGATTCCTTTTCTTTTCTTTCTTCTTTTTAAGAGGCAGCCTTTGAACTCAGTGAGATTCGTATACTGTGCCTCTGGAATGCTAGGGATAAAGGCACTTGCCACCATGCCTGGTCATTATTTCTTTTAGTAGCAGGTAATAGGAAAAATCATCAGGAAGTCTTGCTGGCTTGTGTTTAGAGCATTAAGTGTTAAGTAGCTTGCTGTTAACTACTTTGATCAAATCCTGCCATTCTGGTTATGGTTAAGGGTAGTATTTTATAATTGCTTCACTCCCATTGTCACTGTAGTCTTGCTTATATTATTTATTTAATGTTGTTTATATTTGGTGTATTGTATGAACCTGGAAACTCACTTATTTCAACTAAAGTTTCCAATTTAATGCAATAGAGGTTTTTAATGTCAGTTAACATAAGGTCCACTTGTTAACTCCTTTTTCTCAAGTAATTGTCAAGACATCACAAGCTAGGGGGCAGATCTCTTGGCAACAGAGTGGGTTCCAGGTCAGCAGAGGTTCCACAGTAAAACCCTGTCTCTACAGACAAAAAAAGAAATGAAGACATATAACAAAAAGTCATGTTTAGTTGGGCAATGTCATACAAGCCTTCAAACCCAACACTCAGGAAGCAGAAACAAGGGGGACTCTGAGTCCAAGGCCAGCCTGGTCCAGATAGAGAGTCTAGGACAGCTGGCATTACATAGAAATCTTTTCTCAAAATAAAGCAAACTCCTCCCTGAGGATTAGTTTTTATGGTACCAGGAGTACCGGAGCCTGCCGGCAGAGTTGAACAGTACCTGAGTGGGGAGTGAAGATTGAAATAATTAAAGCATGTCACATGGGATCAGCTTGAGAGAGCTGTCAGTAATACTACAGCCTCAAGTTTATTCCACAATTCCTCTTTATAGGCAAAGCAAATGCAAGTCGTATCAATATAAGAAAGAAGTTCAGGGAACTGGCATACTTGTTTTCTTAAACTATTTCCCTATAGCAGATATCGTCCAAGGTCACACAAACAACTTTTAAGGAGCTTGGTGGAACATCCTCTTATCTCTGTCTCAAGGTGAAGGCCAGAGTGAAAACCTGTTTTCATACTCAATAACAAAGCAGCTTGACAAACAAGCATCTCTCCACACAGAAGCACCAAGCAAGCTCCAAACGGAGGGAGCCAACTATAGTCCTACACAGGTACAATGCTTATGTACCACATCAATGATCATCATGGCAGGATAACTGTAAGGGTGCAGGGGTGGAAAGCTCTCCTTGGTGGCAACCAACAGCTCTGTATTGGACTTTTTTTTTTTTAAAGATTTATTTATTTATTATGTATACAATGTGTGTTTGCATGTACACCTGCATGTCAGAAGAGGGCATGAGATTTCATTATAGATGGTTGTGAGCCACCATGTGGTTGCTGGGAATTGAACTCATGACCTCTGGAAGAGCAGCCAGTGCTCTTAACCTCTGAGCCATCTCTCCAGCCCCTCTGTATTGGACTTAAAGACATTTTTTTCTCATTTACTTTATTTATTTATTTATTTATTTATTTATTTACAATTTATTTACTTTATATCTCAATAGTAGCCCCCTCCCTCATCTGCTCCAGGTTCTCCCCTCCCTCCCTCTTTGCCCATCCCCCTCCTCTAGTCCACTGAAAGGGGGAGTCCTCCTCTCCTATTATCTGACCCTAGACTATCAAGTCTCATCAGGACTGCCTCAATCCTCTTCCTCTGTGGGCTGGCAAGGTCCCCACACCAGGGGGAAGTGATCAAAGAGCAGGCAACTGAGTTCATGTCAGAGACTGTCTCCCCTCCCCTTACTAGGGAACCCACCTGCAAAGTGAGCAGCCTATGGGCTACATCTGAGCAGGGGGTCTAGGTTCTCTCTGTGCATGGTCCTTTGTTGATGCATCAGTCTCTGCAGGTGCCCCTAGGCCCAGATTTTTTGGCTTTGTTTGTGGTCTTCTTGTGGAAATCATGACTGGTACTAAAAACCTAGCTAACTATTCAGTGCTGGTTAAGTCATGAACATTGGATGAGAAACAAGCACCACTTAATTATAACAGCATAATCTATAATAAGATTCTCAATGTTTCCCCTTGTACCCACAGATAAGCTTAGTTTTTCCACAAGGAAATTTCTCTATGAAAAAAGAACAAGTAATCAAAATGAGTTTTGGAGCCCAGGCCTTATGAATACACCTATAAGAACAAACAAACAAACAAACAAAAACCCTTTGCATCTAAGGCTTAAGTAATATATTTGAAGGGACAGAAAGATGTAACAGCCAGAGGAACAGGGATTTTGCTGGGAGTGTGTCTCCTGGTGTATTAGTCAAGGTTCTCTATACTAACAGAACTTATAGAATGTTCATTCTATAATGTTCATTCTCTCTCACATATATATATGATTATTGGAATGAATTCCAGGCTGTGAATAAAAAGTCCAAAAATCCAGTAGTTGCTCAGTCCACAAGCCTGGGTATCTCTGCTGGTCTTCAGTATATGCTGGAATTCCAAAGAAGTAGCCTCCAATGCCAGTACAGGAATGGCTGTGCTAGCCAGGCAAAGACAAGCAGGCAACGAGCAAAAGCTTTCTCTTCCTGTGCTCTACTGTAGCCTCCAGCAGAAGGTGAGGCTATATTGAAGGTGTGTCTTCAAGGGACCAGATCTGGACCAAAGGCCCGATTCCTACATCCAAGTTCAGACTAGAAGAGGAACCACTCATTTCAAAACAAACAAAATTCATCTCTCATAGGTGTGCCCTATGGATTATAATTCATTCCAGATGTGGTCAAGCCAACAACCAAGAGTAGCCATCACACCTAGTAACGCCAGAATTTGTGTCTGTAAAATCTCAACAACATGACCCCCCAAGCGTGAGCTGAACAAAACCAAGAACAAGGGACGTGGCAAAGCCAAAGCGATGGGGAAAACCCCAGAAGACCCCAACCCTACACGGATTATATGCCACTGGGCAATTCTAGGAGCCAGAGAATAGTCACACCCAGGGATGAGTGCACCAACTGGTTACTCAGTACCAAATGGTCAGCCTTGAAAGCATATATGCAAGGAATATTATACGGCTGAGTAGGTTACTTAGGAAGATATATGTATATACACAGACATATGTTAGTGTTCGAACCTGCGTGGACAATCAAAGTTGTGTGTAAAACAAGTTCCTCATACCAAAGCCCCTGATCTAACCTGTATGTTTTGTGAAAGAAAACATCATACCTCTGCAGCCTTAGTCTGTACTGTGCACTGTTTGCAGTCTCCGATAATGCAAGATGTTCTGGGTGTGCCAGGACTGTCTTGTGACCAAATTTATGCAAAGGCTGTATGAAAAACCTCCTCCAGAAAAACAACTCTATAAATCATAGAAAACAGTCACTTCTTTCTACAAATATTTCTTCAAGGTCTAAGCACTTCTAGAAAATTCTGATATTTATCCTAGATACAATGATTCTTCTGGAATTATACAACAGACATAGATGTATGTAATAACACTTAATAAAGAGGCCATGAATTTGAGAGCAGGGAGGATATATGGGAGAATTTGGCAGGAGGAACAGAGAGGAGAAAGGTTCTGATTATATAATAAACTCAAAATTAAAAATGTAAAACCAAAGCGAAACAAAAGTAAATGATCTCAGAACAACAACAAAGCCACCGTAAAACTGAAACAAACAAACAAACAAACAAATGAAAGTTATATACCTCTCAGGGAAATGCAGACGAGAGCTCCTTAAGCCTCCGTGCTGCTCTAGCTACAGTATCCACAATCAGGCGTATAAAGGCTAACTATTTCTGCCATAAATGAGGGGAAATGACGTCATATGCTGCTGTGGGAGTTAGAAGTAGAGAACCAACTTTTGTAACCACTCTAGATGCTCCCCACAGAAAAGGATAAATGAAAGAAAGAAAACTTCTGTGTGACCCGATTACAGCACTGATGTGTGAC